TCTTTCTTCCCGCGTAGGTTATTGTCTGTCACTTGTTTTTAGTTAGTGGATAATACTTCAAGAAGTACCGTGCCTCGTGATGTTTTAGAGACAGACTCGTTCTTAGAAGCACGAATGTCACGCTTGTATAAAAGTGGGTTCGCCTGTGGGTTGATCGGGTTGCAATCGGCCGATCCTTCTTGGATCGATACCTTCCTGGGTGTACTGGGCATTACATGTTAATAGATTTCTCTTTTTTACTTGATAATGTTTGAGTGAAGAAGCTTTTGAATGTGGCGAGCCTTCAATTTTGTTTGCTCAAGAGGGACATGTTTCTTTTGGATGAGGCTTCTTTGATGGAGTGAGAAGTATTGGGGACACCAAATTTGATGTCATTCCATTTGAGTCATCACCCTCCCATTTTATTATTATATAATAGTCCAAAATCTCTTTTTATTTCTAGAATATTATTCATTGATATCCATTCCCATTCCTCATCGAAAAATTATCATTTGACATGAGGAGAGTCAATGCGTTGTCATGAGAAGGCATGACAGTTACTTTCAAATTGTTTCCGAGATTTGAGAATCTTCAGCTCTCACTAAGGAGATTATACCTTTAGACTGTAAGATGCCCATGGGCTGATAATAAAAAATGGCATTGTTGTTCATTTTTGTTAATGTCATTCTTGAGGTGGTGTCCGCTTGACATTTGCTTCAAGATTTGGTGGTGCTTTGGATTGCTACCTCGACTTCATTCTTGTGCCAGTGTTTGTAACGTTAAAAACTGTGCTAGTAGATTGAGTAGACAGCTTTTGGGAGAAGTTGCTAACTCGTGGCTCTTTGGTGATGAAGTGTTTGATTTTGTTATAGAGCTTGACATCTAGCTTTCTAATTTATTTCAAGTGTACTTCCAGGTATGATGGATAGTTATGTGGATGGTGCTATAACAATTTCTTTAGGATTGCTTTAGAGGTCTTATTGGAGCAAGTCTCGTGGATTTATTCTTTTGTGTATGCTCTTTCCAATCGAAGGGATGAAACAAGGGGATTTAAGGTACTTTGATATTGTTTGTTGAAGTCATTGAACAATGTTTCCATTACTAGCTTTAGTGAGATATTGGCTGTCAATGGAAGTTACGGAGCCTTCGGAATGTCTTGGCATTCATAAGGTTGGCAGAGGAGATAATTTTGATCTTGATCTGATTCATATGTATACCTATTCTTTTAAATGGTTAATTATGCTCAGTTGTTTATGAGAGAAGATCATCATTAATGAAACTGATAATATCTGTGCTCTAGTCATAAAAGGACTTATTTCATGTTATGTTTTGCGAAGAAAAGAGCTTTTTAGCTCTTGTGCTCTTTGAGACTTTTGATGAACTTGATGTGGAAAACATCATTTAATCTGTATATGTTAAGAAACCGTGTATTTGAAGGTGGGACATAACATTTTAGTTCACAGTTCTTTAGGCAGCCTCTCTTGGCTTGCTATAACTTGAAGGAAGAGCATCTTAACCTTCCTTGCCCGTGTTCATTTTATGGAGTGGATGCATCTGTTTTCTGCTTAATTGGACTTGCATTACCCTTTGGGTGGAGCTATTGTAGGTGGAAGGGACTTTCACACTTGTTTCTTCTAGCGATGTGTTAGATTCATAAGAGTTATCATTGAGTTGTGATTCCTCCACTTTGGCAATCATCATCAGTTGATTTTTATGTTCCCTTCCAAGGAATTTCAATTTTTTAGTCTGTGGATGGTGTCACCATACATCATGATTTTATTAAGAATTAAGAAGTTTTTTTTTTGGTTCTTGTGAGATCAAAGAAGAGTTTTAGAAACTCTGAAGTGCCCACACTTCAATTGAAGAAGAGGACACATTGGTCTGGAAATAGAGAGTAGGATCGTTCGTTAAATAGGATAGAGATGCAGTAAACATTATAAGAAGTTATGTTTGTGCAGAAAATGGAGCGGGTGGGGATGCATGTTATTATGAAAATGAGTGGTCCTGATTATTTCTTTAGAAAATACGGAGTCCAATAAATATTATTATTGATTATTTGAGTCTTCGAAGTATCTTTGAAATACTCATATTTTGTTTGAAATAATTTTTTTCTAAAAGCGGTTGCTCCCATTACCCGACAATTTGTTTTTTGAAAATTTAAGTTTTTATTTTTTTTAAATTTGAAGGGTTCTCCTTTTTTTAATTTGAAAGTTTTTTTTTAATACTTTTTTACTTAATTTGAAATAAACTCAAGGATATATTCAAAATATACAATTACGTTTAAGTTTAAGTATAATTCCTTAAAGTTCCTTTGGTTATAGTGCAAATTTGATTTTTTTTGAAATGGTAATGTGATAGAGCTGGAGTGTCACGTGACAATTTTTAATGAGGTAGTTTGTTGCTTTGACATGTACTGCTGATGGGTACAATCACTTGCTGGTAGTTTGAATAGCCGTGTAATTCGCTTGTTGATGTGTCCTAATGGGATATCACATGTGCACACGTGACCCTTTTGTTGGCCAACTCGGTTAGCGGTCAACAAAGCCTACTAAACCATCGAATAAGTTGATAGAAACTACACTGCAAGGCTGGGCCTATCTTTTCCTTTGCTTAAGTTGATGTCCACACAAATTTTAAGTGAATATTTACTCTCAATCTCATTTCAAACTTCATTTTATATCACTATTTAAAAATGTCATTTGTGATTTGTGTCCTTATAATACTAAACTGAATAAATATGTTGATGATCTATGTTTTATTTATGATTATTTTGAATTTTCCGAGATTTTTATGTCATTTGAGCTTTACATCTTTCTTTGCTTGGTCAAAATGCCTTAGTTCCTGGTTACACGTTTTTAAAAATTGTTTTGTGGGAGTAGGGCTTGAGAACACGGCACATCAAGCTTTGGCCAAGTCAGAAAGCTAGCCAGGCTAGTGCTAAGGGGTGTAGCGATTCTCAAAATTTTTGGCTTTCTTGAGTGGCAGTGAAGGTGGCTGCATGCTTGGATAGACTTGCCATCGAAATGTGTTGTGGGCTTGGAACGTGCCAACTATGTGGCATTGCATGCTAAAAGGTTGGATAATTTGAGAAGGTTTGATAATTTGAGAGGGATGAGGGGGGTGCTGGAGTGTGAGATGATGAGATTCACTTGTGATGGAAGCATAACACAACCGTGTCCAATTGATTTCCTGGGAGCTCTAACAACGACCAATTGATCTCCTATGAACTCTGAGGGAGCTTTATGAACAAGGTGGAGCAGTCGTGACTGGTTTGCTGCATGACACTTGTAACTGTGAATGAGGTAGATGAGTCGATGATTTTGTGAATGGTTGTTTTAATTCCGACATAGGAGGTTGTTTTAGTGGTTGGGCTAATCCACATAGAGAAGTTGACGTGCCTTGGACAATATTATCAAAATTTGATTGGCCTATTTAGCTTGGGCTGGCTGGACCTTATCCACACAGAGAAAATGACGTGCCTTAGGCACTATTAACAAAATTTGGTTGGCCTATTTAGCTTGGGCTGGCTGGGCTAAACTATTTTGTTCATAGAAATCTCTACTAAGGAATTTTTTATCTAAATATTGATGTAACATTTGCCTTTAACAAAAAAAAAAAAAGATTATTTAAAGTGATTTACAAGACCTTGGCTTAGTCATTTATACCCATCAATAACAATTTTAGCTATTTTGTTGATGTATTTTGTGGCAGTATTATTGATATTATTTTTGTACGCCAACATAGGGCTATCTTGTTACTGTCATTCTTTTTCAGCTGTGTAACTTCTGATGATCTTGAAATTTAAGTTCTTTCAGACTTTTGACTGCAAATGTTAGTTTATTCTATTGCCCTAGAATCTTTTGAGGTATGAGTTTTTTGTGCGATATCATCCTAGTTTTCGGGTTATGATGTTTGTTAACTGGATACCATGTCAATCTTCTGTGTCTTTTTAGCAGCTACTTTGTTTACGTTAGCTTTTAAGATTACTCATTTGCTCTACTTTGGTGGAAGTTATCCTGATTCATCATTAGCTGTTAATTCTTTGCACATCTCTTTTGAAGCATCTTCTACTAGAACTTCTTTATTCCAAGCACTTGGACAAAGTATTTTACTTTCTTATAAAAAATCCAATGCATGATGAGCATTGCAAGGATATCATGTTGTTAATGTATTTGTCTTAAAGCAATTTTAAGATGATGTGCAATAAAAAAATCATGTCCAGTTTTTAGTAATGACTTTCTTGTTACTTAGGAGACTAGCAGACCGGGTTGATATATTTTGTACCCATTTCATTTTAATCATTGGGCCGCTACCTATGATTATTTAACTATTGTTCTTTTTTACTCGTGTTTGCTTTATTTTATTTTTAAAATTATTTTTACCATATATATGTATATTATTATTACTTTTTTCTTTCATCATATGGTATTCCAAGTAAAACTTCTTTTCTCTTGGTTTTGTTCCAGTTCATTTATTTATTTATTTTTTAAATTATGCACGTACATTTTTCTTGCCCATCTAAATGCTAAGGCTTTATTAATTATGAAAAGACCGTTGTCATCAAATTAATGAGATTTTATTCGTCCCGCACATAGTTTATAATGTTATTTGAATTTGTACCTGTTTAACCCAAGTGTAGAAGGATATAATTTTTCTTAGAATATACTTCAATATATTACTCATGAATGCTCTCTTTTAAGTATGGACATTGAGCCAGCTTCATTTAAAATTTTCACAATTTTGTTCGTGTTTTTTTTAATATTCCGAAGATGTTGGTTAAAAGTGTATTTGTAATTGATGAAAATGCTATCTTATTGAAAGAAGATGAGCAGTTTGACTCCCTCCTGCTTGCCTGGCATGCGTTTAGCTAGACTGCTTGTTTTTCTGTCCTGTGTTATTTTTCATCTTGCATGTCCTTTAATGTATGAAATTTTATATACTTATTCTTCAAGTAATAATTCTGTTTAGATTGTTTGAATTGTTTGTTGGAGATGAGTACAAATCTTAGTTTCGTGTCTCAGTGAAATCAGCTGTCGAAGGGAAAGCATTTTCTGAGAAGTTGTCTTCTAAAGAAAATATTTCTCAAGAGAAGGGTGAACTTCAAGAAAATGGGGAAGCCAGACAAAATAATGATGTGAATACCAAAGTTGGGAGAACCATGGATCAGCGTCACTTGTCTGATGAGAAATCAACTGAATCCTGGTTTTGACTTTTAAGAATTGCTCTTTCTATAATTTTTGTAATTGGCTTGTGCATTTCATCTGCCACGTATTTGATAACCTTTGCATGTTCTTTGGTGTAAAGGGGACTGAATAAGAATTCTGGAGGTGATCCTAGTCCTAGGAGTGGCCCAAATAGCAGCTTACCGGTGAATGCTTCTGCCAGAAGCCCAGTAAAAGAGTTCGGCAGGCAAGATCAGCGGTCAACTAAAGCCTCAGAGCCTGCTCCCCTTGAAACACTAAATATTACAAAAGAAGTTTCTCTAGATGGTGGTCAACAACGTGTAAGGAAGGGACGAGGATTTACTAAAGAATATTCATTTGTGCGTCGGTATAGGACACCCTCACCAGCACCCTCTCCTGCTCGTCCTTATTATAGGGGAAGGAATGATCTGGGAAGAGATTTAGAGAGGTAAGTGTTATTTATGAAGAAACCTAGAGCGATTACATTTTGAAAGGATTAGAAATATGAAATTTACTCGAGCTCTCCACAGGAATGGAAGGCTCAGGAATTATCAGGAGAGGTCTCCTTTGAGACGTTCACGAAGATCTCCAAGCAGGAGTCCCTACAGGTGATGTCTTTTTTCTTTTAGCTCTTGGCACTAAGTATAATCAATTTGTTATGGTTTGAATTTTAAGTTGTATTTTTGGGGATCTATTTTTTAGACTCCACTTGGCAAAACTACCCTTAAAAAGTGGTTGTGATTATTTATTGTTTGGTTTATACCTATGTTTAGGGCTATTTTTTTTATGCCCTTGCGTTGGAAAAGCATACAATTTAGTTCTCTGGGATCGCTAATGATAGAAATATAGAGATTGAAGTGTGTAAAGGATTGAAAGTTAAAATTGTTAATGAATGAACTATTTGAGGGTGATTGGCTGATTGATAACAAATGCATTATTGATGAGGATGCTATGATTGTGGTTAGTTCTTTTAGTCGTGATTTATTAAAAAAAAATTATTTAAAAAAATAAAATTTGAAGAAATTGTTTGAATGCTGCCTCATACATTTGAGGAGCAAATGAAAATATTAGTGGCAGGTGAAAAATATTATTCATGTTTTAGTAGGAAATGTTATGAGTTGATGTATGAAGGGTATGGAGTTGAGGGATATAAATCTAATTTGTGAAGGTATATTTGATTGTCAAAATATATAATTTTGTAATAGTCGACAGTTTTTAATAAACAATGACTTCGCTTAACTCATTTTCAAAAATTAAACAATGATGCTAGTAGAAAGTTTGATCATATAATTGAACATAATAAATATGGATTCACTTCAGTAGAAGTATGGAGAATGCAATAAAGAAAAAACTGAAGATGGTGGAATTAAGCACATGAGAAGTTATTTTATATGATGTTCAGAAAGAAAATTTTAAACTTCTCTAATCAAATTTGATTTAGTTTTAAATAGACAGTACCGGTAGCATCAAGAAATTATCATAATAGTCTTGTGAGTGATTGGAAATGTGCTGTCTTAAGCTTAAGATTTGGCGGAGCTAGAAAATGCAAAAAGTTGACGAGCATATGGTTTTGAAGAATGGCAGAAAAGACAGATTTAATGTTTTAGGGAGTGTGAAATTTGTATATTATTAGTTAATAGTTTTTGAAGATGAAGTGATGCTACGGTGTGATATTTTGATTGCTTAAATGAAGATTGATGATTTAATTGAGGACAAATTTTGGAGTTAAAGTTAGGCTTTTTAATGAAAAAATGCCTTAAGAGTACCGTTTGATGAGAAAATATGGATATGAATGCTTAGCAAATCATTTACTACCAAATTGAATTTGTTTAAAATGACAATGTGAAATTGTTGTGCCATGGAGCGTGGATCAACTTATGTGTCTAAGTTGTGCATAAAACGAGTAGATGAATTTTTATCAACTTAAAAGCTTAGGTTGATGAACAAGGGTAACTGCTAGTTTTTTTAGAGTTTCAACTCTTCTTCCATTTGTATGTGGGAATATTCTTTACTTTTGCGCTTGCTAGCAATCTCCACCTGGCTCGAAGGTTCCTTCACATCAACCATTACTTCCCATTAAATGGAAAACATTGTCTGACCTTTCTCAAAACATCTTGCTTTGATAAAACTTGCTATAATAGATTACTGCTGGCCTGAGTTGTGGTCAATACGCTTATGAATGGACGTCATCAAGTTAAAATTTTAAGCTAATTTTTAATGATCAATATTGTAATCAGAAGTTTCAACTCTCATTGCATGTTTGATGTGGGGCTATTCTTCACACTTATGCACATCTTACCAGGATTTGTGCTAAACTTAGGATTAATAGTGGTAAATAATTATAAAGGAATGATTTTGTGTTCGGGGCTTATTGAAGATAAATAAAAAAAATAGACTTCTGCAACTTGTGCATATGCAAGGTACTAAGGTAGGATGTGGGAATGTATTTTAACTGACGTATAAGGATTTGTTTGGAAATTTGTTATATAAAATGTAGCATAGACGAGAAGTTGTGCAGAAGAACTTGCATAAAATTAGGTTAGCTCCTGGAAGTATTGATGCAAAATGACCACTGAAGATTCGTGAAAGCCTTAAAGTTGGACGAAGGAAGTAAGTATGTAAGAGGAGAGAAGGATTACATAGCCTAAAAGAAGGAAAGAAAGCCATGCAAATAACATATTTTTTTTTCAAATGTAACTTAAACCTCTATCATAATTGAATACCTTATAAAATAAAAAATTGAAGGACAATTAAAATAAAGACACTCAGTACTACATGTAAACTAAGAAAGAAATAAATAATGAAAACGCCATTATTATGTCTGCAATAACGCATGACTCGTGAAAGTTTGCAATAATTTTTCATCACATAATTGTGTTATGCAATAATTTTCATCAAATCTTTCATCTTTCATCAATAGACAACGTTTTAGCAACCGTGGGGTTCTTAATATTCATTCTTTTAGCAGATATCATGGACGGAGAATGCGAAGCAGGAGCAATTCTCGTAGTCCCAGGTTTCAGAGCCAAAATCGGGGCCGGAGTTCTAGTCCAAGGAGAAATCGAAGTCGAAGTAGAAGCCGAAGTAGAAGTCCAGCAAACAGGCATCGTCCAACTGTTAGTGATATGCTTCGATCTCGTCTTGGTCCAAGGAGGACCAGCCCTCCTGCTCCTCCTCCTCACCGGAGAGCAAAATCCAGATCAAACAGTCGCTCCAGGTCTCCTGACAAATTCAAGAGCAAAAAAATAACTTGTCCAGGCAGCTCCAGGTCCAGCAGCCCAGCTGGAAACAAAGGTCTGGTTTCCTATGGTGATGGAGAAACCTGAATCAGTCTGTCTCTTCCCAGGCTTTGGATTTTGTAATCTTTGCTGTATTTGGTTTCAGTGTTTGTTTTGTCCAAACTTTAAATATTTGGGGCAAATTAGTTTAAATTCTTCACGTTTAGCTCAACTTATAAATGTGTTTGTATTTTGAAATCTGTTGTGATAGAAAAGTACCGTTTAAACTTAAAAGAATATTTTATAAAATGTATAAAATGGTGGTGAGACGGTGAGACGTGCAATGCTCTATGGTGCAAAATGTTGGCCTTTAAAATAGGAAATTACATTAGGACTCCAGGTGCAGTCGGAGTCCAATGGTAGGACGCTACGGGTCAAGTAGGCCCCACCATGCTTAACACTGGCCAATATCGGTGTATTATGGTGGGGCCCGCTTGACACTTGGCGGCCCACTATTGGACTCCTAACGCAAACTGTGTTAAGAGTCCTGATGTAATATTATCTCCTAAAAGAGAGATAAAATAAGAACTGCGGCTCCCTCCGCAATGGTGTTTGGAAGGAACGTTTGCATGAACGTTCTCGGGTCGCTTTGACGCGGCATTAGGAGGAAATATGAGAACTCTCACAAGTTTGGCTCCCTCCGCGTCTTGCGTTTAGTTCGCGTGTTAGGGTGAAAAAAACCTCCCGTGCCCCTCTCAGGTCTCCCTCGCCTTCAGCCATCTCTTCCTCGCAACCGTTGAGACAAATTAGGTAAAAATTTGACCCTCTGCTCTCCCTCGCCCTCCTAACAAAACCCTAGTTTCTCGCTTGGTATGCTTTCGCCCTTCACTTGTGCCTCGTTGCATCTTTGTTTGGATGCATCATTGTTGGTTTTAATGAAATTTTGGATGGGTGATTTTACTATATCTGAAATTTAGATGCAGTTTTTGTTTGGATGCTTTCGACCCTTATCTGGTTTTTGCTAGATCTGAAATTTGGATGTAGTTTTTGTTTCACTTGTGTTTTCTACCATTTTCTAATTTTGTTAGATCTGAAATTTGGATGCAGTTTTTGCAAAATGCTTGTGGCATGAATTCAAGTATACTTCTCGTGCGGTTTCTACAAAATTGCAGCAATTACCATTGTGTTAGAATAATCCTCTACATGGAATATCATATATCACTTTTAAAATTTGAGTGCTTTGTATGCTAATATGAAAGTTTAGGCATTAGATATATCGATACATAAGAATTTGGTGGCTAGCCATACAAGGCTAAAGTTGTTATTCAATGCGCTGATTGCATTTACAGTTTTTTACATGATATTAACAGTTTGAGTGCTTTGTATGCAAGATGAAAGTTTAGGCAGTAGATATATCAATACATAAGAAATTGGTGGGATGCCTAAACTTGACAAGTAGCATTCACTCCAACACCTGGCCAAGCCATACAAGGCTAAAGTGGTTATCAATTCTATTTTGTGTACTTTTTATACATGCGGGATAATAACATATATCAATTCTGATTTTATATGAAAGGCTTGCCACTTTTATAGCTGTCAAAATGTGGATACAAAATAGTTGTAATTGTATCTTGATCCATGGTTGTTTATAAATTCATCTTGTTTGTTTTTCTTATGCATTATATGAAAGACTTTCATATGACATATATATGGCTTCATACTTTTCTAGCTGTTAATATGCGGATCAGAAGAATGCATCAGCTATTTTTATATCAGATGTGAAATGACAAGACATTGGAACATTTCGTTTTGGTACAGCAAGAGGATGAAGCCTCTAATAGCTTCATGAATATTTCTTTCATTGAATTAGCCTCTAATAGCTAATTCTATTTTTTAGTTGTGGTACTTTTATTAGCACCAAAGGGAGAAAATGGAAGAAGAATTGCATGTTGTAATGTTCTCCCTTGAGATTCATAGCTATGTAACTTTACACAATTGCATAATAAAACATGTTTGATGCTTTGCTGTGGATGTCGATCCTTAATCGAACCACATAATTCCTTTGTGTCCTAATATGTTTTTTTTAGCAAATTGACAGCTCTTTAGGATGTCCATAATTAGCTGTGTGCTTGTGCAATTATTTCTTCAATAATTTTCTTATGGATGTTGAGTTACTATATGAATTTCTTTATGCAATGTGCAATTCTTCATATAGTTTCACCATAACTAAGACAAATGAACAAATGAAGAAGGTGGTCCCTCAGCGATGTGGGATAAGAAAGTTACAAATATTTTCTGCAACATCTGCATCATCGAGATTGAGATCGGGAATAAACCAACCACATATTTCAGTAAGGAATGTTGGTAGAATATAGCTAAACGGTTTAAAGAAGTGACTAAACGGGATTATGATAGGCTGAAGTTTAAAAATACATTAGATCAATTGAAGAATAAGTGGGAAATTTGGAAGGAGCTGAAACGTGAATCCATGAGGTTGGGCAAGAATCCCATCAAATTAGAGGTGAAATTGTCATTATTTTTTTAAATTACAAATATTTTCAATTTAAACAATTATCCCCCTAAACCCCCTCCTCATTGTAATGTTATAGACAATGCCGACAACGAAAAAATACAAGAAGAGCGGAATTGAGGCGGATCTTGAAGATAAACTTGACATAATGTTCAAGGGGGTTGTGACAACGAAGAAGCATACATTCTGCCCTAGTGAGATGGGGTTTGCATGAATACCCGATGATTTTCCACTAGAGCCGGTGACATTCAAATACACAGTGTTAACTATAGGGAGATGGGGGAATCAAGCCACAGATGAAGAGGCCCAGGCTAGGAAGAAGAAAAAAAGAAAATGACAATTTTGTCAAAACTTCGTTTGACAGACTTATGGATGCTTTTGGAGCTCCACCGTCTGCTCCACTTCCTGACATCACTATCTTCAAATGTCTTCAAACTTTGTCTACTATCCCTGAAGTAGTAGAGGATAAGCGCTTTCATGCAATATGTATGAAAAAACTTGAGAATCCAACACGTAGACAAATATTTATGGCGATGGAACCATAGTTGCGAGTCAAATATTTACGTGCTATTGTGGATGATTGAGTTTTTATATGTTTTCTTTTGTTGTATTATGTACTCTTTGAAGTTGTGTGCTCAGCTGTTATTTGGAGTTATGTTTTTTTTAATGTACTTTTACTTGATTCCTGAATGCATGTTAGCAAAGCTCTATATTTTTTTTATTCTAACTGGCTAAGTGTTCTCATTGTTTATTTCTCGCTCGCTCTCTTGATTAATAATTGATGAACTAACCGACATCTTTCTTCCTTTAGGATGGATCCACAACATGAACATCGTAAGAGAATGACATGGGCCGCAACTATTGTCATATTATTGTTGGAGTATTATCGATCAAGTAGTGTTCGTATACCCCTAGCGACCTCCAGTTTTGTTGGGCATAAATGGGTAGGTGAGATACTTTCTAGACATCTAATTAGGTTCAATAACATATTTCGAATGATTGTACTGATATTTATGGATCTCCTGCACGAGTTATCTCTAACAGGGACTCCGAGATTCTTTGAGAACGATGAGAAGAAATGGGTATCAGACACTAGGTATCATATTCCTGATTTTCCCATAATAGGAAAATACTATTTGGTTTATGCTGGATACCCCATGCAAAGGGGCTATTTGAAGTCATATCTAGACACTAAGTATCATATTCCTGATTTTGGGCGAACAAGTGACACTATTCATGGTAGCAAGTGACACTAGTCACATCACTCCTCTTTAAGTGGGATAATTGAAAGAATGTTTGGGGTTTGGAAGAAAAAATTGGTCATCCTACGTGATATGCCGTCATATCCATTTCAGAAGCAGGTGCATATTATGGTGGCAACAATGACACTTCATAACTTCATCCGACGACACCCTTCACATTCAGATACAGACTTCAGTATGACTGATAACGATAAGCTGAATGTCTATGAAGAACCAACATAAATTATGATCGGGCCTTCAATTCATGAGGATGAGAATGACCTTAATGAATTTGAAGTTCATGACGCGGAGGGTGTGACTGAGATGACTGCTCAGAGGGAGTCTATAACAGATGCTATATATGACAGCTAATCCAGCAAGTCTTTCTTTTCTTCGTACATTATAGATCAATTTTTATGTGTATTTTTTTTGGATAAAATCTGACATTCGATTTTTTTTCGCAATTATACCAACATGACTTCTAGGATTTTAACGACAGACAGAGTTGTTTTGTGTTACTGTGGACTACCGGCTCCATTACTCACGTCGTGCCAGACTCATAGCAATGAGAGACAGTTCTACGGTTATCGCAAGGGTGTTTCAGCTCGTTGCAGTTTCTTCCAATGAGCTGACAGTCCCACATGTTACACTGCCAGCAGTGATGAGAATCTGATGTTTTCCCAGGTTGATAGTGCAGCTATGGACAGACATAGTCAGAGTTTGAAATTGAATATTTTATTATTTCTCATTATACTTGTACTTGTCTTTATCTTTTTTTTTTATTTTTTCTGATACTCACGAGAATGTAAGAACTGTTTGTCATATTTTCGAACTGATCTGTGATAATTTTATGCTTATGCAATATTTGCTTCTGTACTACCAATAAGACATCCTGAACAAGCTACCCCTAACAGTTTTACTAGACAGGGGCAGGAAGGTCATTTATAGAGCAATAACTATCAATAAGTTATTCTGAATAAGCCACCACAAACAGTAAGCAGCTTATTTTGATAATCTGCAGATTATCAAAATAATCTGCTTATTAACAGATTATAAATAATCAACAACTGCCCCAAATAGAACCTTAGATAAACTGTAAAATTAATAAATTTGTGATAGTGTTGTAGTTCCATTGACAAACAACATTAGAAAGAGTCGTCTTAGATATTTTGGTCATATTAAACGTCGACCATCTAAGGATCTGATTAGGGGAATCGATGTTTCAACTTATGTTAAGAAAGACAGAGGCAGGTCAAAAAAGTCTTAGGCATATTGTTTAAAAAAGGATCTTAATTTAAATAAAAATATGACAATAGATGCAATGGAGAAAGATGATTGATGCAGCCAACTCCTCTTAGTGGGATAAAGCATTGTTGTTGTTGTTGTTGATATGTATGGTTTCCAGAATTTGTCAGTTTCACAGTGGTTTCTGTGGTTTTTCAAATCTGGTTGGTTCCATTTGGATTGTGCTGGTTAAATCCATCATCACAAAGATTATTGGTTGACAATAATGGTGGCTACCAACCAACCTTCGAGTAGGGTACCGCTTAATAAAAAAATCAATTAGCAAAAAAAGAATCTTACAGATTATAAAATTAAAGGAAAATTTTTGAAAAGATCTAAATTTCTTCAATTCCAAAAGCTTGGCTAATCACCCAATATTCTTTGTAATGAATTCTAATGCTCTTCTTCAACCTCAACTCATAACAATTTGACTCAAGACCCATGACTTTATTTTAAATGGAGGGTCCATTTATTGTAGGGCATGAATAATGTTGTGTAAGATTTATTTGGATTGGAGGCAGGGAGCCTTTTTTTTTTTTTTGGTTGAATTAATGAGACCATAACCCCAATTCCCCAACATAAAGTAGCAATTACGTGCATGGGTTACAAGGAAACCGTTAACAAAATACAAGCATATTAATGGTAGAACCCTTAAAAACAACAATTAGAAACTTGGGGGCTAATATCAGAAAAAAATAAAAAAATGTTCAATAAAAGTTGATCCACATTCATGCTCTGCCACCTTTATTAAGTTGAAATCTTCATAACCAAATCGATGGGTAGATAAATGTTTTGTTTAGCAAGTATAGTCATTATAGACAAGATCAACCAAAAAATATAATAGTCTTGCACCATGGTGTCTTTTTAAAAAATAACTACCAAGTGAAAGAGGCAAGAACTAAAAAACATATATTGATTCAAGGCTAGAGCAAAGGATTAGAAAGAAAGAACAAAAAAATGATGTCAAGTAGAGCGCCAAGAAACATAGCAAAAAGTGAACAATCATAATCACAAATAAAAAAGTAAAAATCCAGAACCAATCATTGTCCCATGACCAATTGAGAACTAGTTTTTTAACATCAAGAGGCTACAAATTCGTAAATTTTCATCTTCAAAGCTTATAGGCCACTTGAATCCATGTGAATCTTGACTATTAAAGGAGTTGTAAACGAATAATACAATTGGAGTCAACCTAGAGTGTGGTCAAACCCAACACTTCTTAATTTTCCTTTAAAACAAATAATTGGACTACTTTAAAGAATGCCTTTCAACCACTTTCTCAATAAATTAGCCCAATGATATGTGAATGAAACCGATATTAGATGTGTTGGCTAGGTGGGATCAATGCAATTTTATTTCTCTAAAATTCATCATATTTTTACATTTTTTTTGGAAAATTTGTCATAATTAAACAATTGTGCTCGTCTTTTTATTATTTGGAGAGTTACACTGAAAAGTTCATTTCAAATCAAAATGCAATTCTTATACTTATATCCTTATTAATTAAGAAGAACAGTTGCTTTGATATTTCTCATAAATGATTTCATCATTTTTTTATTTGTGATTTCATCATTTAGTAGGATAAGTTGATTGTGATAGTGAGGTTCAAAATGAAATAAACTAGCCTAACATCGATTTTAGTGGAGACGAGCGAGTATTTTTTAGTTTATTTTTGAATGATTGTATTTCATATGACTCAAGCAAATTATAATTGATAAGAGTTTTGATGTAGGGCTAGATAGATAATCAAAGAGGGAGGTTCAAACCTTTTTGATATTGTGTTCAACTCCTTCTAAAATTTATTCTAAGCTGCTTTGAACAAGACTCAAACATATGGCTGATTGCATGCTCGAGTAAGTTTTCAAACATATTTCAAACATATGAACATCTGAACTATGTAAATATATGATGAAATTCTATTCTAAAGTTGAATCAATGTTGTATGGAGAACCAAAAAAAGAAGAGACGTTTTCTTTAATTTTGAAATTGAGTTAATTTCAAGTTTTCCTTAATTAAAAAGTAGCGTCCACTTTTGGGGTGGATCTTTGCAAAATTTGGAGAGATGAGAAGAGAAGATCATAATATACTCTAAAATTTCATCACAATCAATCACCAAAACTTTTATTTACTCTCCTCATCAATCTTAGACCCATCATTATAATTTCAAGCAATTGCTACCAATTTCTTACAAACAAAAATTCATAGCAATAGTAAGAAAATTCATTCTAGAGGGTGGGGAAGTTAGGCTTGGTCGTTGGTCACTAGGGAAATAGAGGGCAAAAGTTGAGTGAAAATTTTTTGGGGCTATTTGAAATCTAAAATATGGAAGGCATAGGAAAATTTCCACGAGTGTTGTACATATGCTGATGATGGTTGTTAAAGTGGTTTCAAGAACTATAAAGATCAACGGTCCAAGTGGCTTTCAAATAACATGCTTCAAATAAAGTGCAATGGCTGAAGTTGTGACAATTTAGTTCCCATGAGAAGTTTGAACAATCAAATCTCTATACACAAGATCATGCAACGACTTATAAATACACAAGACCATCCAATAACTTGAACTATCCTAGCCATGCAAAGGGGATGAAATTAAGAGATTATAAAAGGAGTTTTGGTGCGATGTGACTTTTATGGATGCTTGACAATTGGCTTTATAAAAGGAGAATTTTGCTTGAAGTAACCATAAACATTACAATAATTTCCCCTTATTATGAGCAAGAAAATGTTTAAGATATCGAGAACATGTCTCATTCAATAATAGGAGAATAGATATGAATTCAAAAATTAGAACATCAAAAGATTATTACATTAAATGGAGCTAAAATCCAAAGCGCGCGAAAGTCTATAAATACAAATGTTATCTAACAATGCATAGCTAGGAGAAGTACAACCAAAAGTTCTTTAGTTTAATGCAATCCTTCACACCAGATAATATAGTTCATCATCTCTCTCTGTCTCTCTCTCCCAACCTTTTTCACATCATCATCATGGCCTTCTTCTTATTCAAATTGGCTTTCCCTTTGGAACTATCTGGTCTTTAATCCACATGTAAACAGGCACCAGCACGTAGTAAGCAGCAGCAATGGAACCCAAAATGAAACGAACCAGAAAGGCAAATGGATTCACAGATTTCTCCACAGCCTCAACCTTAGGACCAAGCTGCATTTAACACGACTTCTAGTTAAATTAAGAAAACTTAAAGCTGCCAATAAATAAGTATGTAAAATGTGACTTAGTATTTTAGTAGATTAAACCCAATTTCTGTCCTCTAATAATTACAACAAGTTGTTAATGAGGTGTTTGCACAGAAATATGTAAAGATTAAATAATTACTCTTCAGTTTTTTTTTTTTTTTTAACGGAAAGAAAGATTGAAAAGAACCTTTTGTGAGGTAAACTATTCCTGAACAGCGATTACTTGCGCACAAACCAAAAATGACTGAAAAATAAAAAAAAGTTCATAAATTAATCTGTTTGGTAATAATTTAGCATCAAATGCAGAGCACAAAGTAGAGTTTTTATCTGAAAGATAATTGAAACTATTAATGTATCATTTCGAAACTCATAAATTGTATTGTTTTCACCAATTCTGCAACAAACTGAACATCTTATATAAAGAATAACAAATTTAAGGTTTTAGCCTTATATTTTGGATTTATGAATATTAGTTTTTCAATTGTTTTAATGTTCATGATGTGTTGAATCTATTTTGCATAAAAATTTTTCAACAACTTCAATTCATTTTACTTTAGAGAATGTATATACTACAAATATTTCTCTAATAGAATCGTTAATCAATTTCTCCGTTCTTTTGAGACACATCCATTGCATCATCCTTATAACCGCTTGTGCCAATTAACACAATAAAAGCTTTAAATTCAACTTTTTATTCAACACATTTGAAATATGCATATTTATTGAACGATACACAACCAAGGACCACAACTTACATATTATTCAATTCCTATGTATTTACATATCTAACACCTAAACTTTGTTTTTTTAACATTGTGCCACCCAAATATTTCATATCACATAAAAAATACCACAATTTTAACTTCTAAAAAGAGAAACTTCTAAACACAATTTTAACTTCTAAAAAGAGAAATACACCTTTTCATGCATAGGTAAGGTGATATGTATGTAAAAATTCAAGATTGGACATTAGAAATGTAAATACACAAGAATAGAGTGGTATGTGTATAAATCTTCCAAAAACAAAAAGAAAATAATAGCAGAAAACATATACCTTGAGCGGAGATTCACCAGATTCTCTTTTAACTCCGGTGACAGAGCATCCCATAATGAGTCCATGGCGTCTCACACCACGATACCATTTTGGACCTATTCTTTTAAGCTTCACATCTTTAAACCCAGCTTTCTTAAACCATTCAATATATTCTTCTTCCTTAGGGAAGAGCATCCACATATCAGCAAAGAAGCGAGAAAGCCAAAAGGTTGGGTATACAGGACCAATTATGCAGGCTACTCCTCCAAGTTTTAGAACACGGTATGCCTCCACAATTCCACGCTGTGGATCTGGCCAGTACTCAATGCTGAAGCAAATAAATCAAGTAATTTTGCATTCGTAGAAAGAAAAGTAGTAAATTTTTTGCAGTTTTAAGGTAAAATTGGAAACAAGAAATGGAGAAAAAGTTCCATATTAATTATCTTCATCATAGAAAAAATATATGATTGAGTATCACAAGGGTTGATCTTGTGATATTCGATTAGTGAAGAAGGTGAGTAGTCGCAAATGAAGACTTCAATTATTAAAAAGGCGGCGATCAAGGCACACACTTCAATCTGATGCAAATAAAAAACGCCTCGAGACTTCTGCCTTTGACCGAGGCATATGCCTCGTTGTATGCGCCTCAATGGGTTAATGTAAGAAAAAAATTACATCACTGCATCATTTATCAAATTTATCTTATATTATATCAAATGTACCTTAGGAAAATTTACATACAAACCAAGCAATTCTTATGTATTTATATAACACCTAAAATTTGATATTATAGTTTATAATATTTTACCAATACATGACATGAGAAGGCATATTTCACCTTTAAAAATATAAGAAAAGTGATATTTTTTATCTGAGTTAAAAGTTTGAATATCTTACACATGAATATCAAAGTATAAGTGATAGACAAATATACATACGAGAATTATGCATTATTTTATATTTATATATATTTAAATTGAAAATATATTTTGTCAGGTCAGCCGCCCCCATTTAACTCTACGTTTAAGTCCAGTATCTCGTCTTCATACGGCCAAGAGAGATTGGACAAGCTAGAGTCCTGGTTGAGCAAGAGTTTATCAGCATGTCTTTCAAAGCAAGAGCAGAAATGAGAGACTTCTGGGTGCCAATGGGGAGCCTCATTGTTTAGGGAAAGCCTTCTTAATTTTTTATTTTATGAGAATAAAATGTTACTTAAGATTAAATACTTCAAAATTTGGGATGTTTATGAAGATACAAATTATGTGCGATAAAGTAAAATAAAAAACTATTAAACAAATGGCAAAATTTGTACTTGAAAAATCAAAAGAAAAATTTTTTATAAATGATAATAGTTGGTGGTGAAATAATGTGTAAAGAAAAGATACAATATAAGAAAGTTTGTTACAAAAATTGGTTTAAATGTAAAAGCTTAGAGAATTGAGAAAAATATCAAACGGCCCGTAGGGAGTCTAAAAGAATAATATGTGATACTAAAAATTCTATTTTTAGCGATCTTTATAATACATTAGATACTAAAGAGGGTGAAAAATATACGTATAAACTAATCAAACAAAGAGAAAAGAAAAATAATTATTTAACTCTAGTGTATGAAAGATGAAAATAAAAAAGGTTGTGTTCTTAGAAATAGATATTCAAAATAGATGGGTGAGTTATTTTGATATGAAACATGAAAACAAAAAAGGTGGTGTTCTTAGAGATAGATATTCAAAATAGATGGGTGAGTTATTTTGATATGAAACATGAAAACAAAAAAGGTGGTGTTCCAGAAGTTTCAGAAAATACGATCGACCTTAGTGATCTTAATATCGTTAATAATAATAAAATATTTCATTTTTACCGCCGCATTAGTAAAAAAGAAGTTGAGGATGCTTACAAGAAAACAAAGGGTGACAAGTCTGTAGGACCTGATGATATCCCAATTTGAATTGTGGAAATATTAAGGAAATTTGGGAGTTTCTTGGCTTGCTAAACTCTTTAATATTATTTTAAAAACTAATAAGATGCCTGAAGAGTGGAGGAAGAGTATTTTGGTCCCCATTTTTAAGAATAAAGAGAATGCACAAGAATGTGCCAATTATAGAGGAATTAAGTTGATGTGTCATACTTTACAATTATGAGAGAGGGTAGTTGAACATAAGTTAATACACATACAAAGATTTCTCATAATCAATTTGGATTCATGTTGGGCAGGTCTATGATGGAAGCTATATATTTATTGAGAGGTGTGATGGAGAACTTCAGAGATAATAAGAAGAATCCACATATGATTTGTATTCATTTAGAAAAAACTTATGATAAAGTTCCAAGAGATATTCTTTGGAAAGTTCTTGAGGAGAAAGGTGATGATATGACTTATATTCGAGTCATTAAATATATGTATGCAAGAACTGTTACTTGTGTTCAAACAGAAGGAGGATTGACCAAATATTTTCCTATTTCTGTTGGTTTTCTGTTGGTTTACATCAGAATTTCTGTTGGTTTACATCAGAGATCGACTTTAAGCCTATATCTTTTTGGATGGGTTATGGATGGTCTTACTAGACACTTACAGGAGGATGTACCTTGGTGTATGCTTTTTGCTAATGATATCCTTCTCGTGGATAAGACGAGAGAAAAAACTCAGGAAAAAATTGAATTAAGAAGGTCTACTATGGAGTCTAAAGATCTTCGTTTGAGTAGAATTAAAACTGAATACATGGAATGCAATTTTAATAGTAGTAGCTCTAGTGACAAAAATGTAACTATGGGTGATCAAATTATTAAAAGGTGTGGGTGTGAACGCTCTAGATATCTCGAGCCTATTGTTCAAAGTGATGGTGATATAGATGAGGATGTTATTAGTAGAATTCAAGTTGGATGGTTGAAGTGGAGGAATGATTCGGGCCTATTGTGAAAAATAAAAGTACTGCTTAGACTGAAAGAAAAATTTTATAAGATAGTGGTCAGACTTGCAATGCTTTATGGCGTTGAATGTTGACCTTTAAAAGAGAAACATAAAACTAAGTTAATTGTTGCCGAGATGAGAATGATTAGGTGGTTGAGTGGCTTTACACTTAGAGAGAAAATGCGAAATGAATATATCCGTGATAAGGTTGGTGTAGCTCCAGTGACGGACAAAATTAGAGGGAGTCATTTTAGATGGTTTGGTCACATTTAACGTCGACCATATGATGATCCGATTAGAAGAGTAGATGTTTTAGATTTGACTTATGTTAAGGAAGGCTGGGATGACTTGGGCATATTGTATAAAAAATGGTTTTAATTTATTAGAATCAAATGAAAATATGACACTAAATAGGATGCAGTGGAGAAAAAAGAATTCATGTAGCCGATCACACTTACTAGGATAAAGGTTTTGTTGTTGTCATTGTTGTTGTACAATGTTGCTTAAGATTGATATCTGCATTTTTTTTCTTAGAAGAATTTACATACAAACCACATAATTCTTATGTATCTACATATATAACACCTAAATATTCAAATTTACATCCATAATACTTCAAACTTTAATATCGCATTAAAATTATCAATATCGCTACATTTTTAAAAGTGAATACACATTTTCATGTATAGATTTATGACAATAAAATTTCATAAATGTAAATATCTAACTTTAGGTGTTAGATGTGTAAATGTAAAAACACAGAAATTATGTAGAATGTATATAATTTTTTCTTTATCTTATTATTTGATTTTTTTTAATTGTCTTTTTGACGAAGAATTAAGTAAACATATCAATGTTCTATGCCCTAATTACAATTTTTTTCTTGATTTTATGAGTTATTTAATTATTTTCCACCTCGAGATGTATGGTTCGCCCCGCTAAGGCAAAATATCTTTTGTTCCAAATTACACCTTTTAAACCTTTGACTATGGTAAAATTATATCAATGATCATTATTAATCTTATGATTTTTTTTATTGGCTAAAAAATGATTACAAAATATTTAAAACAAAGATACCTTGACGTATGTTAATTGTAAGTAGAGCAATAGAGAAAATCCTTAAGAAAAAGAAGGGCTGTTAGTGTTTTGTTAAATTTAATTGGTTGTGCTACATATTGACTATTGGTAACAAAAAAAATCAATCATAGAAAAATAAATGTGGCAGAAATGAGAAATTAAGACAATAATTTACATCAAAAATTGCAAAATACACCATGAGAAATGACAATTTTAAAGAAATAATAATATACATTGCGCACCAAACAATTCTCTAATAATGTGGAAAGACATTTATAGTCAGAAGATTTGAAAAAAAAAGGTACACAAATGACAACCAAATCAAAAATATAAATATAAATATTGAAAATTAAATCTAATATAACATGTTGCACTCAACAAGGATGAATGGAGGGATTGCAAAGTAGACATCTAACAGTTGAAATAAAGCTAATGATAATAACTATATCAAAAAGTAACCCAAAGAACTAAACCTGAACATAATTCTTTTATAGCTCATGTGCAACAAACAATATTGAAAATTTAAGTAGAAAAATATTCTAATCTTCAATTAAAAAAAAAAAAAGAGTTCAATGATAGACCATCAAACAAATTTTCAATATCTTCATTATAAAAGATTAGATTTATGCCCGTTTTCCTTCCCTCCATTACCGAATGCTAATCATGTATGTTCATGTGACCAAATGAATATATCTCATGAAAAAAAATGCTATTAATCAGAACAACATAGAAAAGAAAAATCCATAAACCAGAAATATAGATCATAAACTGTCATGCAATTCAAATTTAGCATTTTAAATCTCACCTTCCAGCAGAAACGTATCGATCAACAGAGTCCGTCGGGAATGGCAAGTCCTCTTCATCGCCTTCAATGATGGTGCACTCTTTCAAAGCTTCCTTTTGCCTAGCCTTAGCAAGCTGGTGTGGCGACTGTTCAAGAATGGTGACATTGTTTGGATTTATATGCTTAATAATTCCCAGTGTAGTAAATCCAGTTCCTCCTCCAACATCCACAACCTTCATCCTGGAATCATAGAGATCCGCAGGCTCAAGGGCCTCATCCCTCATGTCTTCAGTCCAATGCCCAGGGTTTATGACGTGATCATAGACTATGGAGAGAAACCTATAAAACCAAAATGCCTCTTTTTTATGCTGTATAAACCTAGGTTGGAAGGATGGTCGGGAAGAGGAGACGCCGCATCTGGGTGGATGGTCGGGAAGAGGAGACGCTGCATCTGGGTGAAGAAATGTTCCCCCTTCTCCTTCCATCGAAAGAAACAAACCCTAATTTTAGATTGGTGTTGCCATGAATTGAAGACGCAACAAAACCTAATCCTTTTGGGGATTTCGCTTGGAGGAATGAGAGGCTCTCAGCCCCACTGAGCTTGTAAGAAGCCATAAGATAACGGGGAATTGAAAGAACCAAAATAAAAAAAAATTTTGAAACTTTCTTCCTCAAGCAACCCCGAAGCCCCGATTTAACCACAAAGCGCTGGTTTCCTGTGAATTACACGGGGGAAAAAGCAAAACAAAAAGACAAAATCAGTTTTTTTTGTCAGAGTAGAACACAAGTGGATGAAACGGTGGGTGGGAATCATACGCCAAAAGTTGCTTTTATTTTATAAAAAATAAATTGCAATAGCTCTCTGCCGCTTGACGGGGTAGGAAGATGGCCACTCCCATGTGAAATATAGTTCAAGCCTCTACTTAAAATGCTCATAACCGTAAGAAAAAGATCAGCCGAAAAGTTACCTATATCTTTTACGGACGCAATCTCGCAGGCAAGCTGGGACGAAGAGCAAGAGGGTGAGGAGACGGGATGAGAAATAAAGCAAAACTAATGCCGATTTCGATGAAGAGCACGAGGCCACAAGTTGGCAGCAGAGAACGAGGGAGATATCATGTGGATGGTCGCCCGAGTATCGCCCTTTGGCACTGAAGTGAGTGTGCATTGATGGGATTTGGCTTAGATTTATTAAATTAAACAAATTAAATTAAATTATTTATGGATTCCAATGAACCAAATGACATGTAAACGAATCAAATTTATTTAGTTTAATTTTGATTTAATAAAAAATTAAAATATTAATAAAGGGGCTCAATTTGAATAAATTAATTGACTGGTTTATTAAATCAATTTCTTAACAAATTTAATTTAAACTCAAAAAAATTGATTTTTTTTTTGTTTTTGTCGAATTTTTCATTTTTTAAATCGAGAGAAAATTTTCAATTTAAATAACATTTAATTTGGATATTTATTTACATATGTCTTGAGATGCTTTGAAGCTGTGTTTGATTTAGTAAAAGATAAATGCATGACTTCATTTTTTCTTATTTTGAATTTGAAGGAAAATAAAATAGTATAAAATATGAGATTGATAACCGGCTTGCAGACAGTGATAGAGTTGGTAGAGATAATAGCGAGTTATGACAGCAAGCGGTCAGTAGCAGACAAGAGGCGACATTAGTGATGGACGACTCCAAATCTCTTACCTCCAACATTTTGTGATGAAATATGGTGATGAAGCTCCTCAGGCACTCCAGGGCTCTTAACGAATTTTCAAGTAAGCTTGAGAATTCTTTTGTGAATTTTGTGCACAAGTGAATGTAATAAAGGTGTGTTTGAACTCCCCATAAATAGTGATAGCTCCTGTGGATAAATTGTTGAAACAATAAAGGGACGATTCTTTCAAAGTCAAAAAAATATATTACATAGCTTCGACTCGAATGACAATATGTGGTTGACAGGATAAAACCTTCCTTGTAGAATTTCAATGACGAAATCATAAATCTTTTTGGTACTACAACTTCCACGATCTTCAATGAAAAAGAATTCTCCAACAACTCTTCCTTTTTTTCATTTTCTCCTCCTCTCCCAAGCTAAAGGAGTAGACTCTTCATCATTATAATAATAGTCACGTCGTCTTCTCCACCGATGTCGATGATATATCCCTCTTGCCATAATTTTTGGTAACATATCTCTATGAACCATTGATCCAAATAACTCAAATCCCGTCTGGGCTCTAAGTCCAACTCTAGACACATGCTCCAGCGTCTCCCAAATCAATGCCAACATCTGGTCTTTCAACTCATTAATTTGTTGAACTACAAACTCACGTGTGCACTTTATGTTGATCGAAGCTTCTCAAGCTTGGGTTTCTTTTATGTGTGAAGCTTCACTTCTAATCTATGGCTTGATAAATGCTCAACACGCTTTCAATGATGTTGAATCTAAAAATGTTCGTGCTCATACACCACATAATCAAGGCTTGCAAGGGAAGA